ACAAGGATCCTATTCTAATCTAAGGCTAGTTGATGCATCAACTTTGTTCATCCTTCTAATTTAATGTTGCAAGGCTTGATTTTGTTATGCTTTGCCATAGTTTCATGGAATTGATTTTTAATGTGTTGCAAGGCTTGATTTTGCTATGCTGTGCTATAGTTTCATGGAATTGGTTTTGAGCAATAGCAATGGTGTTCATCTTAATTGCAAGTTTGCTGCATTGTGGATGTTATTAGGACGAGGTTTCGACAGTACATAACACTGCCAACCGTCATTGAATCATATGAGGTAAACCGGGAAACAAGTCTGCTATGATGATATGGGGTTCATACTGGGATAAGGCACATCCTATCTTTGAGTGCTGGGAAATTGCAGCGGTCTGTGCCCGAATCCTAGGTACCCAGGGGTAGCATTATATGCATGTGTATATAATATATACTATATATAGAACATCCAGAAAAGAATTGAGACAAACTCGGGTGGACATGCCTGCCAACATACCAGGCACCATGCCCCAGCAACAGCATGCTGGGTAACCTGCAAAGCCAGCTGAACAAAACAATCAGTTATTCTGTAGGCGCTTGCCAGTGTAACAAAATTATTCCAGAGCCATGTTGCCCCAGACCCAGCAAGGTGACATGTTGCGGCACTTGGCCTGAAAGCATTGTATCAGCATAGACATAGAGAAAGAGCCCTGTTCGCCATAGCCAGGATCGGCGCCCTGACAAGGATGGTCGATGTAAACACCGCATCAGGAGACACAGCTGTCCCCGATTAGACACTCTTATCAGCCGAAGCCGGTAGGAGAGCATGGCAGCATGGTAGAAGAGCCTTCTGGCAGCCCAGGCATCTCCAAACGCGATGGAGGTCCTTGCTCCTTCGGCGTCTCAGGCCTTGGTGGAGGAAACGACAAAGAAATACGGTGTGCATCGGTGTACAATAACCGTATCAGTTATTTTTTCCTTATTTTGTCTTGCTTCTTCAGCCCTTTCTCTGCCTTTCGAAACAAGAATGATGGGATATATATATATATAGAGAGAGATTGAGATAGAAAGGTAGCTACAAAAAAGGCGACAAATTACACCACTACTCAAGCACTCCCTGCACCAATCATCTTCTGAATGCTTGCACGCGCGAGACTCTGGGAAGCAAGCTCGTCTTCCTGCAACAAGGCTTGTTAAATCTCTGAGACCTCACCTTGACTGAATCTCAAAGCCCTTGCCTCTTGCCTTTCGGCAACTGGGTTGATGTGCATAGCACCTAAGTCTGGAAAGGCGTGGCTGTTGCAACAAACTCTGGCTGTAGGGGCGCTGACTTGTGATTGGAGCCTTGGAGTCTGCGTTGGTGTAGTAGGTTCCTTCGACCATATCTGCCACCACCTGTAGCTAAGACACTCAGACCATAGCGCAAATCAAAAGAAACACTTCAACCAAGCTGCCATAGCGCAAGTCAAGGCATACAGCAGCATGATGCCGGAGATCTGACTGATTGCAGCCAACAATGCCTATCAAAGGTGTCCATAGAGTGCGGGCTGCAACCGCGCTCAAAGAAACTCCTCGCCTGCTCAGCTCCATTCATTCCAGACCAACTGCTCGAGAGCTCCTCCAAGATTCCCTTTTTCGAGCCAAAAGCTCCAACCGGGGCTGTTTTGTTGAACCAAAGCTGGTGACCACATGTGACCACTGCAATGGCCAACATTTGACCTTCAAAATACCAAGAGTCTCCTGGAAAAGCTCAGAGAATCCTCCATGCCAAATCCAGTAGGCAAACCTTCCAGCCCTGCAAAGATGACACTTGCAAAATGTGAAAAAAAAACTGCGGTGTACACTCAATAAATAAATAGGTGTATATATATATATTAATACAGTATACAGTGTTGAACGGAGAATTTAGGCTCACAAACGTAGTGACCACAAGTCGCAGTCCCACAGGTTAGAGGCACTCTTTTAGCTCACGCTTCAATGCGATCAGGTAAGTCCAAGTGAACACAAAGTGATCCCAAACGGCTGCAGTGAAACATACATCTATACACAACTATGGCATGTACATGTAACTGGTGCTACATCTGATCACGCCTCCTGAGCTTAACTTCGGAGAGACGTTAAGCGAGTCAGGATTAGCACATGAGTGAATTAGCTCGTAGCCCTTCAGTACATCTTGGTCAGGAAGAAGTACCTACTTTAGCTCAAGCCGTTCAAGCCCTCAGTGTTAATTCATGTTCACCTTCCAGGTAGTGGAAGTTCATGCCTTTCATTGCAATGGTCATCTTCTCCTCGGTGACAGCTTTCGTTAGCACGTCGGCCAGCATTCGGTCGGTGCCTTCTTTCTTGAGACGAAACTCTTCTTTGCTGTACGCTCTTGTACCCAGTGGTACTGAGTGTCAACCTGTTTAGCTCGTCCCAAGCCTCGACGGTTTCCCATGGCGATGTCAGCGGAAGCGTCCATTGTCACCTCTTTGCTGGGAAACAATCCCCAGTCTTTGGCAGTTGATGCAATTCCAAGCGTTTGATATGCTCCAGAAACAAGTCCAAACACTCGGATTCACCACTGCTAAGGGAGACAACTCCTTGGCCTTTGCTGTAGGTAGTGAGACAGCATTTGTTGGCCATGAGCACGCCTCCTGACACACTTTTTCGTGTCCTTATGCATCCTGCATGGTCGGTGTCTGACCGCGTATTGAAGGGGTTGCAGGTGCTCTGATTTGGAAACAGCTGTGCAACTCTTTGGTCGATACCTGACACATCTTGCCAATGGTTTCAGCATGTTCCAGTGCCTCGATGTTGGATTCTGTAGACCAGCGCGTTGCAGTTTGCAGATCAGGTCGATCTTGTGCCAAATACGCGGCTCTCATAGCAATAGATCTATACATCGTTGCATCTTCGGCACTCACAAGAACCTTGACTTGGCTTGCGCAATGGTGTCTTGACCTTGCCTGGTTGACCAGTGCCTAACCACTTGATGATCAACTCTGCATGACGTGGATCTGGTTCCCACCAAATGCCTTCGTTTGACCAAGTGATGATGCGATTCAACACTCTGATCTGTTGGCTGGCTTTTGGTGATCCAGGTGGACCGAGAATGCCTCGTTCCACAACTTGCCATTCTTTGGCTGCTGAGGTATGAAACCATTTGATGTCTTCAATATTTCCTACTGTCGCGAAATCATCTCCATGCACTTCTGTTCGAAGTTCTCTAGCTGGATGATAGTAAATACATGGATAGCAAAAAATCCTAGCTTCTTCGTGAACTCTGCGATGGTCAGTTCCCAGTTCATGGGCGCGTCTCTGGCGCCATACAGGCTTCTGACCAATCTTCCAACTACATCTCCATCCTCTGGCTTCTTGCCTTCAGATGAAGTCTCAACATAAAGTTCTCTGGCTGCGCCTTGGCGTAGAAATGAGCTCTCTTCACATCCAAAAATCCTAGGAAAGATTGCTTGGTCTTGCTTCTCTCGCCTTTCTCCAATGGAAGGCTATCACTGACTGTGATAGTGAGTAGTAGCTTCAAATCTGCTAGGCTCGGCGTGGCTGCGAAAAATTCGTCAAAACCTGAGCCTCTGTTGATTTCCTTTGCCACCAATCTACTTCTGTAGAGAGGATTGGTTTCATCTCGCTTGTTCACATCAACTCCTCGAGTTCCAATGATTTTGGTTCCTTTTGAAACTTGGTTTCTTGGGATCTTCTCCCAAACTCCCATAGATTCGACAACGTCGATCTCATCTTTTCTGGCTTTCTCTACCTTTTCAGGTAAGAGCTCTTTCCCACTGATGTCATCATAAAACCACCAGTCTCTTGTTTCTTCTGCCATTTCTTCTGGCAGTGGAATCTTCTCTTCACACACTGGTTTCTCTGGGTCGATGCTAGATAGCACTCTTTCTCTGTCTTCTAGGATTAGGCTTTCTAGGGCCATCTCAATGCTCTGGATGTCTCTCGTTCTTTCGGATTCATCTTCACGCTCGCCTTCTGCTTTTCTCTTCTTGTCTCTATCTACTCTGGCTTTTGCTGTTGGTGATCCTGCTGGTTCATGTTGTTCGTCATGTTCTCTCTTTTCTCCATGTGGTTCAGGATCGCGTGGTCTGCGAATTCTGGTTCGTACCACAGTTCTGTCACAATGTCCATCTTGCGAGGTAGCGCTGCATTGGGTATCTCTGGTGGAAGGTCAGTTGTCATGACTCGACTCTCAATGATTGCATTGTTTGCGTTCTGTCTTGTGACTCGGTGCCAGACGGTAGACCAGTCGTTTTTGTGGCTCTCGCTTTCGTATCCATGAAGGATTTGAGGCCTCTTGCCACTGATTGGCTGTGGCATGCCAGTGACTGCCTTCTTGACATCTGTTGGTGTGTTGGGCGCCTGAAGTTCTTTTGCCAATCTGTGCGGCGTCACAAGCTGGGCAACCTGCTGTGTACCCATACTTCTCCAGGTCTTTCTTGGTGACGTAAAGCCTTTTCCGCTTTCTTTTCTTGTCATCGATTGCCGGTGGTGGGACTAAAGCTTCACCACTTGGACTGGCAATGATTGGTTCCCTTGGGGCTGCAATTGCTGGTTCTTCGCGAATTGCTTGACCCTGAGCATCCGATCTTGAAAAAAACCGATCCCGATTGGTTTTTCAAAAAAATCGATCCCGATTGGTTTCACCTCAAAAACCGATCCTGGGATTGGTTTTTGGGGATTGGTTTTTTTTTCGATCCTGGGGATTGGTTTTTCAAGGTTTGGGGATAGGTTTTGGGGATTGGTAAAAACCGATCCCCAGGATGGGTAAAAACCGATCCTGGGGATTGGTTTTTGAGGATAGGATTGGACATGACATGCACCTCACAGCAATCTTTAGGCTCAAGTACGCATACAATTTCCCTTATCTTTTTTCCATATCCTTGGGGCTTGGAAGAGAGCCATGTCAGGAAGGGGTGGGAAGAACAGATCACCCATCCTTCCTGTAGACCAGGCAGCCTGGATGCCTTTGATTTAGGCATCTACAAAAAGATAGGTAGAAAGCAAGCAGCCTCAGCCCAAGGGCTTGTGGAAAATGCCTGGCGGCTGAAAGCTTTGGTCCCCCTAAGCAGTGGTGAAATCCTTCCAGGGCAGCTGAAGGAGGCATTGCTCATTTATAATGCATCCCACAATACATCGTGCTACAAAGCACGCATCTGGGCAGGATCAACTGCAACCCACTTCACCACCATGCTGAATCATTGGAGGAGGTTGAGGACCAATGAGAACAAAAAGAGGCAAGCTACAATGAAAACTAGTCGACAAGTTGCCAGCCAGTTGGAAGAGTTGCTGATCTTGGAGCCAGGCTTGCAACAGAGCCAACCCTCCAATCACAGCCACCAGTGCCTCTGATGAAGATGAGGTCGAAGAAGTGTCTTTAACTCCAGAAATGAAGCGATACATGCAACCTACCCCACCAAAGCCTGCTACCAAAGCAAGCTTGCCATTGAAAAAGAACAAGCCCACAAGCCACATGAAGGAATTGGAGGCAGATGCTGCTGCAGCTGCCCAAGCTTTGGCAGAAGAAACACCTGCCAAAGCCACAAAGAAGCCTGCGCAGAAAGTGAAGCAGAAGCCAGCTGCCTCTGTGCAGGTCAAGGTCCAGAAGAAGCCTGCAGCAGCTGCATCTGCCAAGAGGAGGCTTGCAACAGAGCCAGGTCTTTGTTCTTGGAGCAAAGTCAGGAAGGTGATTGCTTCATAGCAATCATACCTGCAAGGTATGAAAGATGGACAATGGATCTTGCTGATCAGCTGCACAGAGAACAGGGGCCAGCCATCCAGAAGGCCATGCTGGTGTGATCAATGCCTTGGAGGCTCCAGCTCGTGAAAAAGGAATGACCTAGGCAAGGCTTCTGGAGCTTAGATCTGCAATGGTGGCTTGAAACAAACAATGGTGGTTTCTGAAGGATGCAGAAATCCAAGCAAGAAGGGCCAAGGGGGATTGCAACTGAGGGAGCAGGAGCTGGTCAGTTCGGCTGGAATGTTGCACCAGCAGGCCATGCTCAAGGAACAGCAGCTGTTTGCCCATCAGCAGCATTTTGTTGAGTGGCAAAAAATCCAATTTGCTGAGGCTTGGAAAAAAGCCAAAGACAGCAAGCCAGTCCAGCTCAAGGAGCTGGGTTGATCAGACTGAGGACTGCAAAAGAAACAAAACTTGAGAAGCTGAACAAGCTCTGGGGTGATAAGGCTGCAGAAAGAAAAAACTACAGCAACAAGCTGAAGCTGTGGTAGACTGTGCATGAAGGCTTGAAAGAGAGCAAAAAAAGTAAAATGGCTTGAAATAGAGCCTAGGAATGCACAAAGCTGAAAATAGAGCCCAAAATAGAGTAATTCAATAAATATTTAATTTGAACAATCAAAAAATAGCACAACAAATACACAAATAAATTACTTATGAAATAAATAAAAAACTTCAAAATCAAGACATTTCACAAATTTTACAAAACCATTTTGTGAATCACAAAACCATCTTGTGAATCACAAAACCATCTTGTGAATCACAAAACCGTCTTGTGAATCAAAAAACAAACCTTGTGAATAAAAAACAATTCTTGTGATTCACAAAGTTGCCTTGTACAGTAGCTATTCTGGCTCAATCTTTTTTGGGCTTCATATCACCAAGTGGTGCAATGAAAAGGCCTGCTGCAAAGAGCTCTGATACAAAAAATCACAATGCAGATAGGCTTGAAAAAACCAAATGAAGGAGAGGCAACCCCAGGAGGTGATGAGACCCCAAAGGAGAAAGATCCTGATGCAGAGCAACCTGATTTGAAAAATTTCACTGCTTCACAATTGCTGAGCCACAATAAATTTTTGGAAGAAGTTGAAAAGTTGAAAAATGGAACCATCACTGAAGGTGAGTTCCTGGGTGGCTTGCAACAGAGCCAAAAGCAAGGGTTGTTCCACATGATGGAAAAGAGAAGATCTGCTGCAGAAAATGAAAACTGGAAACAAATGGTTGGCCCTGGAAGCAAGAAAAGGAAAAACACACATAGAACAAAAAAACAATTTTGCACACAGGGGTGGAATGCCACCAAAGATGTGGAATGGGTGAGTTGGAAAAAGGTGTGTGAGGAATATGGAGAGCAGGAAGCAAAGCTTCGAGTTGCCAACCACCTCATCCTCACCAGGAGGTGTCCAGAGGCAAAGAAAAAGGGCCTGAAGATCTTGCAGTTTTGCAAGGTTTCAGAAAAGACCAGATTCAACCAAGGCTTGCAACAGAGCCTAGAAGCCACAGGTGCCAAGGACACAAATGAAAAAGAACATAGGAAGTTCACCAAGGCTTTGCTATCATTGGAGCCAGAGGGTTCTGAAGAAGAAGCCTTTAGCAGGGCACTGTGGCATAATCACAAAAAGAAGCCAAAGGCTTTAATGGATGGCTTGGAAGAGGGCCTGGAAGACAGCTCTTCTGAAGAGAATGAATGTGGCAGTGAAGAGATGCCAGAGCCAAACCAATTCTTGGCTGAGCTGGAAGGTCAGGCAAGCAGCAGTAAGCCACAGAAGCCTGATAAAGCCACTAAGGCAGAAGAAAATAAGAGAAAGCAAGAAGCAAGGGAACATGAGAAGAAAAAAAAGAGAGAAGAAGACCCTCACCACATGTTTAAAGTGTGGTCAGAGATCTCTGAGGCTTACAAGGTCTTGAAAATTGCAGAAAGGTTCACAAACATTACCATCAATCAGTTCACCAAAGGTGAGAAGCCATGGTCGCAAAAGCCATTGTTGAAAGGGAAGGCTGCAGAGCTGAGGCACTTGGCGCCTGTCCTTGCACTGGTGGCTTAAGCACCCAGCAGGCACTTTGGCGCAGGAAGGGGCTTGGAACAAAGCCAAGGAAACACAAGTAGCACTGCACATTGCAGAGGCCCTCACTTCACTGGCTTGCTTTTATGATATTTTGGCAGGAGCTGATGTTTTTTGACAAATGAGGAGGCCATGGAGGCTTGCATCAAAGCCAAGAAATGCCTCCAACATTTTGTATGGCTGAAGCAGCCATTGATGATGACTTGAGGTGGCAGCTGACTCCCAAATTCCACTTTTTCTATCACTTGGCCCATTTGGCCAAGTGGCAAAACTCAAGGTCCTTTTGGACCTATGGGAATGAAAGCTGGGTTGGCCAGATGGCCACTCTGGCACATAGCTGCAGCCATGGGACTAGGCCCACAAAGCTTACAGATTCCTTCTGTCAAAAGTACCTTCTTGGGTACCAGTTGAGGATCAATGACTTTGTGTGAGGTTTGAAAGAGAGCCATGCCCATTTCCATGCTTGGGGCTTGAAACAGAGCCATGCAGACCCAGCCAACAGAAAAAAACACAGTTTCAAGATATAGGTTGTATCAACACCTCTGATCTTCTCTTTAAAGGTTTGGGGATAGGTTTTTCTTGATGTTGGGGATTGGTTTTTTAAGATGCCCATCCGCCCCAGAACCGATCCCCACAAAAACCGATCCTGAGATTGGTTTTTTCGATCTCGGGTGCTCAGGGGAGGGTCCCAGGGAACGCCAGCGATCGACTTCAGCAACGCTGAGTCATATCGATCTTCTTCCGGTTTTCTTCGGATCGATTGCGCTGTAAAAACTCCAGTGGCTGCGCCTACTATCTTCTCAGTGGTGCTGTCTTTCACTCCTAGAAAAATGCCTTTTGTCCAATGAGCCTCGAACTTGTGACCTCTCTTGTGGTATTCGACGCTTCACCAAAGGGTGGAATGGCTACCTTCCATTCTCGTCCACGAAGTCTTGAGTATGGCGTCTTTCCGTCTTGAAGTTCGGTCGATCGGAAAAACAAGTTGTAGACCGTGGACGCATGTTCAACCAACCAAGTCAAAATAGTAGGTGAGTCGTCTGGAAACTTTTCACCATAGTTCGACTCGAGCGCGGCACGAAGAGTCCTTGCCTGTACTTCCAAGGTTTGAACTGCTCGTTCAATTTCTCCCTTGGGTTCCTTGACTCCTTTCGGGCTCTTTTCGATGATCAAGGTTCCTTCAAACCCGTTCTTTACTGCCTCAACAACGGATGTAAGAGCAGGTTCAGGGTCATGTCGAATGATCAGTTTGGAATACCCTAGCTTCTTGATGTCATTCAAGAGTACTTTTGATCCATAAGGTTCTATAGGGTCCTTTGGTCACACCTTTGTAAGGTAACACGTGGGCGAACAGGCGTTTCGTCCATCGATCCCTGACAACTATTGGGGCGTGTGTTTTCTCATCCACGACTACATCATCATCAGTTCGTGAATTCATGAAACAGGAATCTACAGTCACTAGTGGGGTGGTTTCGTCAGAGTGATCCACCCGCTTGTGTGGATTGGCTTTGGCCTTGCCTCTAATGCAGGCCTCACACCACGAACGAAAAGGAAAATGTGAAACTGAGTGTTCCTCGAGCTCTTTTCGCGTTGGGCGAACTGGAGCGTTGATCTTGAGACCAGATGGAAGTTCTTGCCGGTCAAGACTATGCGTGGAAAAAAGCCAACACTTTTTTTGGTTTTAATTACGCTGAGGGGGGTTGTGGAGTACCCTGACTGACTGACTGGAGCAACTCTTTCACTCGGCGCGACCAGTCGTCCGCCCTGGCCAGCGCGTGAAGACGGCCGAGCCACAAGCAGACCAATGATCTCATCCGCCCAAAAAAGTCGGTCCAGACCCTGCCCATCATCTCAAACCTTGACCCTGACGCACCAGATTGCGCTTGAGAACGACGTACCACCTGACTACCATCACTTTTGATTGAGTACCACCCAGCTTAGGCCCTGCGCCACTTTAAGAATCCAAAAACTGAATGCTGGAATGTAAGCAACAACGGGTGGATTGGTCAGAAACTGTTGAAGCTGCTATTGGGTTGGTGGCCTTTACATATAAAGCGGCAGGCGCTGTTGACCATGAACTTTTCTCTCCTTGCTCTGGGCCTGGCTCTGTTGGCCTGGCGCTGGTCTCATCTGCGTTGTCGGTGTTGGGCCACCAGGATGGTCCCCCCGTACTCGCTGCTAAGTTGGAGTTTGAACTTTGAACAACCCAAAAGCCATCAGGACATCCGAGATTCTGTTTAACGCAATGTTTGGGTAGTTGAGGGGTGCAACTTATGGCTAGCAACACCTGAGGGTGGAAGTAGCCCCACAACACTTGGCAAGGATTTGTTTCGGACATGAGCGAAAGATGCCGATGTTGCCCTTGATCTCCTTCTCGGCGCCTCGCAGGGTGCAACCTTGGCATTGGCATCTCCACCTTTGTGGGCTTTAGCACAGGCCACAGCTAGCCTGTCCGAGGCCACTTTCGAAACCTAGAACCACAACAGCTACAATGGAACAAAGACTTTGGGTGCTGTGTCTGGTGTTGCAAGTGCCGGGAACCGGGACTTCAAAGGAGAAAGTTCATCCAAATTTCTGCAACAGTTCTTCACTGCGTAGCAGCCTAGCGAGTGCGGCGGGCAACCGACAAGAGCGCCTTGTGCGTCTGGGCATTGATCTCCACATCATGGGCCCCGATCCAATTCGATTGAAACCCGGAAAAATTTGCCAAGCACTGCCACACTTTGCAAATATTTCCGGGGCAGCTTTGGCCCATGATCCACTCTCTCAGTCTTCTCTTCTGCGGGGAAGACAGAAAGGTGAACTCGCCCAGAAGCTCACCAGCCCGGATCTGCACCTCCTGCAAGCTCTGTCCTTAATAGCAATGAGGAGCAACTATGATAACGCACAAGGCAAATGCCCCAATGAAGTTTTTTCGTGACAAGTGCTGGTTAACCTTGGTCTGGGCACTTAGATTGGTAAAGGTACCCTGGTCCTGGCATCAGGAAGGTTTGCATGGGGTTTGTATGTCTATCCAAGGAGGCGTTTGTCACAACGATGGTGCTTCTCAGCAAATGACAAAACAAAAGAATGTATAACGCAAAGAATCCACACCACCGCCCGAACTGCAAGGCATTCGTGCCATTGTACACAGCACTGCCAATCGGGTCGGCTGTCAGGTCCAACGCATGAAGCGTGGCCACGAAGTGGGGGAGCAAGAGCCTCCAAGCTGAAGAGCGAATTCGCGGCAGCTCTTCGAGACTCACCTTCCAAGAGGTGCCCTCCGTGCGCAACATGTCGTCCAAACTCCCATCCAGGAACTGGGCGCACTGGGAGAGGACTTTCGCCAATGTCACTGATTGGAGGTCCATGTTTCTGCGCACAAGTTTCAAGCGAGCGCCCGCTTTGCCGAACTTGTCACGACATCTGACAAAGCGGGTTGGCAGGTATGCCTTTTGGCCCGCTCGCCGTGTCTGTTGGTGATATCGCTGCGCGGCCATCAATAGACCAAAGCGATTGCCATCCGTCTTCGCAAACTCCAGGGCGGCCTCACACCACCTCAACCGGCTCAGGCTACGTCCAAAAGGTGACACGGTTACTGTCTGTCCCTCTAATTTACAGCATTACTGGTTGAAACATCGCAATGGCGAGGGGCGAGGGATCTCTCATATACACGCCCATGTAGACAATGCCGAATTGCTCAACAGGAGGCAGCTTGAGCATTGCCCGGCTCGTCATCAGCCGCCTCAAGCAATTCGTTGTCTTGCACGATCCTAGGCGGGACATGGTTCAGTCATTATCCGGCCACATCCGGCCAAAAACGCCTACCAAGTTCCAATGCCTGGGCGACGCCGCCCTCTAAAGAAAAAGACCATATACCTGGATCTTTTAAATGGTTCTGATTCACGCCGAGAGTCGCGGCGTTTTGGCCACTGAGTGGACGAAGGATCCCTTCATGGCATCCAAGAAGTTAAAAGCCGCACCGTTCATCTCCAAGAAGGGGTTCCTCAGCGCAGCAACTTTGCGCAGCGGCCCACGAAGTGTTTTGGACATGCCAAGGCCGCGCCAGCACAAGTACGTGAGAAGCAAGACCTTAGATATCGCAACTCAACTTGACTTGAGAACAGCGGGGAATCCCTTATTGCCTTCAGCTAAATGTAACTACCTCCGGCCCGACCAAGACAAAGCTTGCCCTCTCAAGAACTGTGTAAAAAGATTGTTTTCTCAGTGAAGCCATGCATGCTACCACGGGGCAGCTGGCAGATCATCACTCTGATCTCGGAGCAAGAAGCTGAGCACCAAAATGAGCTGCTTGCGCTGTTCGTGAACGACAGCTTTGGCAACCTTCCCAAATTCAAATGAACCACTCTATAGAAATCATGCCCTGTCACAACAGAGTTTGCGCTCGGGGGTCAACCTCCTGTCTGACACACTGTGCACCAAAAAGAAAACTAGAGGCCTGGGTCACCAAGCGGTTCCCTTTAGTGTCAGCCCCTGGATTCGCCATCCAGCTAGCCACCAACGATGCGGCAGGCGCAAAGGGCACCGGCATGGCAGGTCGAAGAGTCAAAGAGGCTCGCTGAACCGAGGCTGGCGAACTTGACACTGGAAAGGCCAAGGCCAAGGCATTTAGAGAACAATCTTCTGGCGTTCAACACGGCTACTTCTACTTTCCTCACTTGATACGTAGCCATCAGCACTCAACTGCAATCTCTACCGGCGACTCCCAAATCCACAGTCTCTCACAAACAGGCACGGGCTGCCTCAGCCATTCCATTGGCCGTGGCAATCAAAACCTGGGAGAAGTACCCCGGATGCCCTCCTCCGATTGGAGGAGGGCTCCGCTACCAATGTTGAAACCACGGACCGATTCGATCCGCCGAGGGCTCCTGCTCTCGACGGCAGGCCTGGTTTGGATTCTACTCTGCTCCGAAGAAAGGAAATGAAAGGACCCGTAAGCATCTTTATGGGTCCCTTCGTTTTTGGTTTCCCAGAAGTGTCTTGGGGTGGGGATCTGCCTCCTATAAGCTGGATTGTTAAGGCGGGTGTATTTCAAAATTCCCTTTCACCCATCAAACCCCTGAGCCGCATCCTAGCTAGACTCATGGTATTGGGAGCCAGGCACCCGAAGGTTCAGGCCTACAGAGAAAACGCCGCTTGAATAGAGCAAACTCGAGCACTCGAGCTCTGTCAAAACATCTACAGCGGTCCACTCAAACGTTCACGGCCAAGTGGAACATTTGTTTTGCGGCGCCCGTATACCTGACCATGGGCCAATGTGTATGACCATCGGGTCCCGCAAAAAACCCTGTGTGTCCCACGCTGGCCCATGTCCACTGCACGTTTCCGGAATCAAAACATTAAAACATTGAGTGCTGGTGGGCTATACCTAGGATATAAGGAAATCCGTCTACAGCTCATAGCTGCCCAAAACATTGTCAACCTGAAGGCAATTCTGCTTTGGTCGTCTCAAAGCCAATCCAAGAGCAGCACGGCACCGGGTCACGATGCAGCAAGCCTCTGCTGCGATTGGAACAGCATCTCTGTCTCTCTCTCTCTCTCTGTGTGTGGGTCTTTTCAAATTTGCACTCAGGCTCGTCAATGCCAATGACAGGGACAAACATGTTTCTGGAAAATCTAGCTCCAAGAAAGGAAATGAAAGGACCCGTAAGCATCTTTACGGGCCCCTTCGTTTTGGCTTTCACAGATCAAACCCCCGAGCCGCATCCCCACAGGGCAAACGCTCTGCCAATGTCGGTTGATCTAGCTAGACTCGGGAGCCGGGCACATCTGGTGGACCTTCTCAAGAGGAAGGTTCAGGCCTACGGAAAGAACGCCGCTCGAATAGGACAAAGTCGAGACTTGTCAAAACATCTACAGTGGTCCTTGCAAACGTTGACGGCCACGTGGGATATTTGTTTCGTGGCACCCAATTATACCTGACCATGCTCCAAAAAAGGTGTATGACCGTCACGTCGGGTCATAAACTCCACCAAACAAACCCGGTGTTTCCCACGCTGCGTGGCCCATGTCCAGGTTTCTAGAATCGAAGCCTTGAACGCGGGTGGGCTGATAGGAGGCCAATAGACTGATCGAAGAATGTGTTGCCAGTTCCCCGTAGGCTGGCAAAAGGCTACTGGCCTTAACCTGCGCCCCCCTCAATAAAATTGAGCTAGTCCACAAAGCCGCGGCAGGTTTGAGGGTCATTTGTTGGAGCAAAAAGCTTTTTGTGTAAAAAACATTCCACCAAACAGATGGACTTCAACAAAAACCCACAAGAACTGCCGTATCGTCTGGGAAAGAGGTCAATCCGAAATTCCCTACATCTGGAAGCGGTCATTAGGACAAGGTATCGGGTTTGGGTTTTCCTCATCGGTTTCCGAAGTTTGATGAATATCACTAACATACCCTATGTTTACATGCCATAGTACAGTCATGGATATTCATGGCATGTCCTTTGAACCCTAATCTGCTCTCAAGTGGGCATGTCCCGTGGCCTCTGGAGATCAGGGCATCGGTTAGGCATCTGTCTATACAGTAGTAGTAGTAGAAGAAGTAGTAGTAGTAGTAGCAGTCGTCATCGTCGTCCTGCTTCTCCTCGTGCTCGTCGTCGTCGTCGTAGAAGTAGAAGTATAGAAGTAGAAGTAGAAGTAGAAGTATAGAAGTAGAAGTAGTAGTAGTAGTAGTAGTAGTATCAGTAGTAGTAATAGTAGTAGTAGTAGCAGTAGTAGTAGAAGTAGTAGAGTAGGAGTGGTAGAAGTAGAAGTAGAAGTCATCGTCCTCATCGTCCTCGTTGTCGTCGTCGTCGTCGTAGTAGTAGTACTACTAGTAGTAGTGGTAGTGGTAGTAGTAGTAGTAGAAGAAGTAGTAGAAGTAGAAGTAGTCGTAGTAGTAGTAGTAGTAGTAGTAGTAGTCGCAGTAGTATAGTAGTAGTAGAAGTAGAAGTAGTAGTAGTAGTAGTAGTGTAGTAGTAGTAGTAGTAGTAGTAGTAGTAGTAGTAGTAGTAGTAGT